TTCAACAGATATATAAATTTATTCATAAAGCTATTGACTAGTAATTCTTGTAATGTGTGTGCTAATTTATTCTAATTTGGCAATTGGTTTAAGTTTTGCTAAAAAAAGTCAGGGCTTAATTTAAAAATAATGAATAGGGGTTCGATTAGGTACATAAATTCATTTTTGTGTATTTTTTCCTTGAATATACGGAATGTCGTGTTATTCGCCTTTTTGTAATAATTTTATCGTATATTGGCGAAGATGTTTGAATGATTCATACACATCGCAGCTGTTGACAATATGTTTACGGAATTTCACAATGACTACGACAATTCTGTATAAATTACAAACTCATTTTTTTGGAATTTTACCCTAATCGAATGATTAATTTATTTTCGTATATTAATATATATGTATACTATATTCGTGTGGCGGCTTGCTCTATATACATATATAATTTTTAGCATATATTTACCTTTGATGACACTTGAATTTGTTTGAAATAAATATTTCTGCTAATTAGATTAGCTGCTTTTAATATATTTATTTAAAACTTTATTCTTTTAATTACATTGGAAAGCATTAAACAAAATAGACACACAGAATAATAATGCTGTTCAGTGAGTTTTTTTTATCATTTTTTTATTTTTTATTGGATGATGCTCATATTAATTTCTAATGATCAAAATAAAATAAACAATCAAATTCGGATACGGATTCAAATTCAATTGAAAATTTCGAATAAGAGAATCAAATTCGACGGTATTTATATATTTTCTTTTTATCGTTACAAATATATTTAATAATAACTGTTTTCGAAATCGGCAAATCCCAATATAATTATATATGTATATATGCATGGCCAATACGATTTAACGATAAATCTTTTTTGTATGAATCAGTTTTAAACATTTGAATATTTCCAAGACGTACAGAGAACAGTATATGATATATATGTATATATATGTATATATATATATATATATATATATATATACAGTGGTGGTCACAGAATTAAAACATTTACTGTGGTAAATTTTTTTTGGTCAGCCCTCGATTCGTTTAAAGTACTTTTGAAATTTTTTTAATTCAGAACACTTCGATACACTACACTTAAGATATTTAGTGTGAAAATAGAAAATTATTGCATGTAATTTTTCCATAAATAACGGTTTTTATAAAAATATATCGACGTTGAAGTGCCCATATAATTAAAACATCGTGTGATTCTTTACTTTACTGCATTTTTTTGAAAATATTTTTAAAAAAGCTCATTAATTTAGTTAAATTTTGTAAACTAAGCACCGATAAAATCATTTACAGATAAACATTTTTAAAAAAAATCTGTAAAATCTATCAAAATTGCAAACATTTGTACCGTACACCTTACATTCAGAAAATCACCCTTATTATAGAAAATAAAGGTCCGAATGCACCAGAAATTTCTAGAATTAGTAGAAAACAATAAATAATTCCCAAAATAAATAAGTATTTGAAATAAAAATTAAAAAAAATGGGAATTAACCTAAAGGTTGATTCAATTTCAATAGCCTTTACTGAAGACGGCCGGAATATTTTTGCAGTATGTGAGAAAATATCGATTGATATTTGTATTTATTATATTAAATCGATTGTTCGAGGAGTACAGAATATATGTTATCAAAAAATATATCAGTCACAACAGAAAGAAAAGAGATCAACGCCTATGTTGACGAGTAAAAGTTTTTGGCACACATCAGCATGTTTGATGGCCAACTCTTGACCGTTAAAATCTATTGAACATGACAATATTTTTCCAAAATAATATTTTTTGAATCGAATAACTTCCACTTAATCTATTTTAGTATCAGGGAATGAAAAATGTTTCAGTTTGACAAATATTTGAAGTCTTGTGTTGAACATCATAAATCCTGCTGTGTGCCAGAAACTTTTACTCGTCAACATAGGCGTTGATCTTTGTTCGTTCTATTGGGACTGATATATTTTTTGATAAAATATATTCTGTACTCCTCGAACAATCGATTTGATATAATAAATACAAATATCAATCGATATTTTCTCACATACTGCAAAAATATTCCGGCCGTCTTCAGTAAAGGCTATTGAAATTGAATCGTTCCTTTAGGTTAATTCCCATTTTTTTTAATTTTTATTTCAAATACTTATTTATTTTGGGAATTATTTATTGTTTTCTACTAATTCTAGAAATTTCTGGTGCATTCGGACCTTTATTTTCTATAATAAGGGTAATTTTCTGAATGTAAGGTGTACTGTACAAATGTTTGCAATTTTGATAGATTTTACAGATTTTTTTTTAAAAATGTTTATCTGTAAATGATTTTATCGGTGCTTAATTTACAAAATTTAACTAAATTAAAGAGCTTTTTAAAAATATTTTCAAAAAAAAAAATGCAGTAAAGTAAAGAATCACACGATGTTTTAATTATATGGCCACTTCAACGTCGATATGTTTTCATAAAAACCGTTATTTATGGAAAAATTGCATGCAATAGTTTTCTATTTTCACACTAAGTCTCTTAAGTGCAGTATTTCGAAGTGTTCTGAATTGAAAAAATTTCAAAAAATACTTGCAATGAATCGAGGGCTGATCGAAAAATGTTTATCACAGTAAATGTTTTAATTCTGTGACCATCACTGTATATGATTCATGTATTGTCATTTATGACGAAAACGACACACACAATACTTCGGCACTTAATCTGAGGTTAACCCGGAAAAAAGTTCTAATGTAAATGCTGCATTAGACATCTACTGAAATTACTAAATCCAGTGCAATGTAAACGTACTATTGCAAAACATATTAACATGAGCAAAGTTTTGACAACAATATCATGCGCCCCAGTCAGATACTTATAAAACCACTAGACTTATTTGTAGGTACTTTCTTTCATAAATTAATTGGACTTTGTAGGGGCTGCATTAAACATTATATTTGTTCGGCAGTGAATCATAAACCAGACTTGTTGTCAACCAACGTCTTCTGGCAACGCTAACAGTAATCATTCCTGTACATACATACTGTTGTTGCTTTTCTGATATAGGCGTTTTGTAAGCGATCGACTCGTCTTTCTACTACTGTTGGGGACCCCCCTTCAGCCGAATAAACAAACGATGTCTACGATGATGGTTATCGCACAATTGCCTATATACACACACACACATTCGTAAGCGGACGTAAGTTGGTGTATTACATGCACACAGAGATACTCTACTTGAGAAACAGCTGAGTTCTGTAAAAATATATCTAGCCAAAGGTTTAGCAGCGTAAATGACTTGTCATGAACGAACAACAGAGAACCCCAATATACATCGCAAACAGTTGACACGAACGTTTGTTGCGAGCTAAAGATGTTCGGTTGTCAACATTATTGTTTGGGGAAGAGGTGGATGGGTGGGTGGTGGCAAACAAACATTTTGTATTCGTTGGGAGCGAGGTAAGCGGATTTCCAGTATTATGTGAGTGTTTCCCTGTTTGTGTGTGTGCGGTTACAACAGTGCGGCAGGTCAATAACGTGTTTAATATCGCTATATTATTTTTAGGACTGGTTAGGGAGTGTTAAGCTCAAATTAAATTGAGAGAGAACAATATCCAATCCACTAGGAAAAAATAGTGTTGCCAATATTCCCAATAAAAACGCTATGCAGTTACTACATCAAAACAATTTTTATTAGCACCAAATTATTTTTATTAATTCTCATGGCAGAATTATTGAAGGTTGTCTCATTGAGAAATTGATAATGGCAACCATTGTTGATTTGTAACTCATCTATCGATTTCAAATAAAATGAAAAATAAATTTCATAACATTAGCTTATTTTCAAAAAATTAAAATATTTACTATGATTTAGCAATTGCTGCAACTGAACACATGCTGTGCGTATATTTCGATATTAGATATATTGTCAGCCTTCATTGTTAAATCGAAAATATCTTTATATCGAATATAATTGTTTTCCTTACTAAAAACTTTAAAACGAAGCAATTTATAAAAAATTTAATTCTATAGAGAAAAAATGTTCAAAGAATACAAAATATTTAAAGAGAAGAAAACGTTTTACGGGGGTTTAAAAGTAACAAGTAGTTTGCTTATGTGCAACTACATAGTTTTGGCGTATATCTTCTTCCCGAAGATATCGAAATTATCGATTTGCCCATCCGGTTCATTATTTTTGGTATATTTGCTAACATCGTGAAAGTAGTATTCAGCATTTGTATTCCAGTTCTAATTCCGATAACACCTTCGTCTTAACACAATAGAACAGATAATGGAAGAACCTCATCTTTATCAAAATCACCATTCCAATAAAAAGTTAGTTCCAGCGTTTTGTAATTGAGAAACAACAGACTCGTTATTTATGTACATATTCACATTAAAATTAGACTAATGTGGAAAAAACAAAAATATATTACATAATATATAGATAACTATTGTTGAGTGCGATTTTCATTATTGTCGACCATGAATACCTGCCTACCACGTGAAAATGCTACGTTCGCATCACTAATGTCATCTGCTAACATTGTTTTGATCTCTCTCGCTCTCTTTTTTTTATTCATTTACTCAATACCTGTTCTTCTCTCTATCTCTACACTTGCAGCACTCCCCATCGATGAGTTTCATGATTCTCGCCCTCATACTGTTCACAACTCAGCACGTCGCCGACATCAGTAAGCAGTCACACATATAACTTGGAGCTAAGTAAACCTGAATTTCAACTAGCCCATTACAGTTCAAGAAACGCGCGCGTTCTTTATACACAAGTTTACGACTGAGCACAAAAAATGGATAACAATACATAATTTCTACAGAAATCAATGAATTAGAAGAATAATATTCTGTAGCTACAAAAATGCCTTGGCTAATATTGAAAATAAGCAATTTTACCGAAACAAAATGAAAAAGCAAGAATAAAGTTTTAATTAAGAAGAAAATACGTTAACAACAACTGTGATCTCATTTCGTATAAACAATACATACACTCCCACACACACACAAAAAGCAATCGAAGGGAAGATAGAAATAAAATACGAGGGAACAATTGTCGCAGCTGCGAGGAAGATGACTGATTATTTGAAATTGGCAGAAATGCAACGAACCAATGTCGAAATTGAACGTCAACGACATTTGACAAATTGGTTAATAAAAAGCAGTCCTCATATGGCAACTCCACAATCGGCTATAACCAATAGCTCCTCAACGACAGCAATAACGACCACCACTTCGTCGTTAACGCCATCAAGCACAGCAGTAGCATCAACAAGTGGTAAGTGTGTTACTAATACAATCGGCCAGGTGTTAAAGTACTCATATGCATCTGTGAGTATGAATATGCATTAGATCGACCCTCAATAAAATAACGGTCACAAATTCCATCCGCGTATTCCGCGAGAGTGTATTAAAGTTTCGCCATTCTCCCACTGGAACTACTGGTATTTCAATGTATTTTTAGGCATTAGCAACATGTTTAAACCGATTTGAACACTTTATTGGTCCAGACTCCAGTCTTTGGATAAAACCACTGAAATTCAAAAATTCCATTCGGAATATTAAAATTACATATGTATATGTAAATCATATTTGGGCAAAAAAAGAACAACAATTATTTGAAAATTTTAAAACATTATGTCAATGTCGATAAAATAAGAAATATAAACATTTCTTTGACATAAATAAACTTGCCAAACATTGAAAAGTACTTCTTTTTTAATGATAATTCTATTTTTTAAGATACAGCCATTAAGATTTTATTTTTTATCCTTTTAGGAGCACAGTTTGCAATTTAATTGAATTCGACCTTCATGGCTCCAAATTGCATTTTTGGAAATAAATAGATATTTCCGATTATGGTCTGGGTTTCCACTATATACGAAATAGAATCATTATTGTGTGTAATTTTAGAACGAATTAAGAAATGACAAGTTATCTAATAAAATATTGAATAAGAAAACGCTAAATTGAAAGAATTTAATTAGTTTGAAATTTTGTCTTTTTTTTAGCTCCTGCTCCAGCCAATCTAAATTGTTCCGGTCTTGCGGTATCATCAGTTAATTCAGCATATCCTGTGCCTGGACATTTCAACTCAAAACATAGCAGTTCTATGTGTGTTAATTCAGCAAACAATTCTACAACTAATCCAGTATTCTATTTAATGACCAATAATTGCAATAATGGAACTGTGAGCGGTGTCAGTAGTGCCGTTGGTCTTCTCAACTCATCGAGCATGGGTAGCAACTGTAAATATTCAAACGCTTCTCACCACCAACAGGCTAGTAACCACCATGGTTTGCATCATTTGGTCGAAGGGAGAAAAGCCAAGTTGAGACGCTTCAACTCTCACGATACCAGTTCTAATATGTTTTCAGTAGCCGACTTTGAAAATGCCCGCTTAGCTAGACGCAATGAAATAGAACTAAAACAGCGGTTGCAAAGACGAATGAGAAATGGGTTTACAGGCAGTGGCGCAAGTTTGTCGACAAGCTCCGGTCAGGGATTAAATAATAGTAACATGAGTGCTGATTATTCTACGGGTGATAGTAAAGCTTCTAAACATAGTACCGAAGTATGTACAATGTATTTAACGATTTACCATACAAAATAATACTATTATATTTTTTTCCTAGTCTCAAAACGATCCTCTACCAGTCGAAGAATTTCTGGAACGTTATTCTCTACCTCGAGTGGTGCGAATTTCTTACAAAACACCATTTTCTATCGAAACACTTCAATCGTCCTCCTCCAATAATTCATCTACAATTACGTCCACTTCGTCCACTAGTTGTGATGGTGAAAAGGTCGCCCATGCAAGCAATACCACCCATGATATGTCCAACTGTAATACGGGTACTTCTTCGTCAACATCTTCGGGAGCAGGACATAATGATCACGCGATTCAAACATTGAATAGTAACAGTAGCAGCGATAATAGTGCCACGAAATTGGCGACGACGAGCGAATCAAATGCTGGCAATAATCATCCACACTCAAATGACGATGAACAAGGAGAACTGTTTCTTTTGTATCGACTTATTCGTCAACGAAATATTTATCATGGGCACAATGCAAAAACTGCAGCTACAAGTCGGAAGAAAGGTGTTATGATTCCACAGGAATTTCCAGGTTAGTATTATTGTCGGAAATAAAATTTCACATTCCATATGCAATGGAGGTAATTCCTTAACATTCATTCATTTTTACAGGTTATTTCTCCATGCTAAATGATAAAGGTGTCCCCACTGCAACTTTATACACTTCCCTTGTACAATTGGTTAGAGAAAGAGTTTGCAAATTTGTTTCAGTCGATAATATGGCTGCATTTATGGAATCTCAACCAAATGGAAGTAATGCTAACTCCCCTGCAGATGGATGTTTGCATATATACTCGTCGAACACCAACAATTCTCACAATAGGCCACATTACGTGAAGACAACAGCACGGGGTGGTCAAGTTTTTAAGCTTTTAGCTGTCTACGAAGATGGAAAACAAGAGCACAGTTCACTTACACCGACAATATCTTGCGGTGGCTTGGGCGCTACGAAACAAACTTCATATCACGGCCGTGAAAAGGAGCGCAGCCGTTATGCTCAACTGTTAAATGAACAAAGACAAACGCTTTACGTGTCTTTGGCAACAAAAGGTAAATTCTATGAAATTGAGCCTGGGATTCCACAGATTTTACAAAAACGCCTGGATATAGCGGGAGATAATACACAAAGGAAACTAAATACGGAATGCGTACATCGAATCACCGCTCTGGTAACCCCAAATAAGGAGCTGCCTTTGACATTGAAGTACATTTCAGGGCCAAATGGTTGTGCTAGTGCTATTCCAGACAATATATGCGTAACTCGCGTTAGTACGGAAAACATAATAATTGCATGTCCCATTGAAGATGTTGAAATGCAAAGTCCCCTACATTTGCGAAAACTTCATTTAACAAAAGAAATGAATTTAGTAAAAAACACTCTGGGCTTCGAAAACGAACAGCGTATGTTTTCGAATCCCAATGTACAGAATATTTTGAAATTCTGCCAATTTAACTGTGATCAATTTTTGAAAATGGTGGAAGTGGAGGTTTTGCAAAGGTCTGAAAGATCTGCGTCCAAATCTCGTGTGGAAGGTTTAAAAATTCTGAAGCCATTGCACTTTCCAAAATTGCTGAGAAGGGAAAAGACCACAATTCCAGCTCACGAAAAGGAAGATTCCATAATATTTTTAAGCAAATCGGACTTAGCAAATATGGAGAGTAAAGACCAGTCATTTGATGATCAGGCAAATCGAATTACGGAAAAAATGAAAGTTTTCCAGACGACGAAAAAGAAATGGTTCCGAAAACAAGAGAAAAATTCCGAAAAGCAATTATCATCAAGCGACATTGATGCACAAGCAAAGAAAATGAGTATGGAAAGATACTCAGACATGTCGAAACTACTACAAGAACGGTTCGGCCACAAAACGACTGAGCAGGAATGCATTTCGGAACCCAGTGGCTGTCAATCGGACGTTGGATTTTCCGATACGGAGACAACCACGTTGACCACAATTGACGAGCGGTTAAAAAAGTTCACTTGTTCAAAGTCAAATGAACCCAATGTTCTGCAAAAATCGTTATCCCTACAGGACATCGAACTGATTGGTAGAAAATATCGAAAACCCGACATTTTGTCGTCTCATAACACAACTGATACAATATCCGAGTCTGGTACTGATATAGATGACATGGAAAATCGAGAACCACCGCAGAGTTCATTTATAACTGAAAAGCTTTACCACGAGTTTCATGTGAAAACCAAACAATATAGCAAATCATCTTCAAGTCTACACCAATTACTGAACTTCTCCCTGCCTCAAAAGTTACAAATAGGGGAAAATAAGAAGTCGTTGGCGCAATTGAAAAGTCAAGCAAGCAATAGAAGTTGTGAGAAACGCATAGATTTTAGTATTGGAGAACCAGTCACTGGCCGCAGAGCTGCAGGCGGTCTGTCGCTTTTGGTGCAAAACTCCAACAATCCACATAACACCTCGCTTATCGCGCCACTGACCCCCATTCATCTAATTGAAGATGATCTACCGTACTCCAGTGTTAGAGATTCGCTGATACTATCCAGTGATGAAGGCAGTCCGCCAGATGTACCTACAGGCACAATGTGTCAAGCTTTACATCTAATAGATTACGCGAAGGAAAATATTTACGCTGAAATTTGCCATGAAGCCAGTGCTGTAGGTGGTATACCTACATCTCAAACCCGTGATACATTTTCCGGAATAACACATTCCACACATATATCTGATGATTTCGGCGACTACGCTTCTCTTACATGCCCCCAACCCTCTACGGCAAATGTCCTGGGAAATGCTATCAGTCGTGTGCAAATTACCTGTTCTGAAAGCCCAATAAGTTACCATACCGTTTACTTAGGTGAAGAGCGCTTGGGAGAACCACGCCCGTCAAACAAAGAAAGAGACAAGTCCCGATATCACAATTCACATGACCGGTCGCATGTAACTACAGTTGATGTAGTCAATAGCGGCGACAACACGCTAGCATCAGGGACTCATAACGCCCACACTGAAAGCCAGTCCGATTCCGGTGTTATTGACAATATATATAATACGCTCAAATGATGACTAATGTGATTTAGTTGGAAATTGGGGACATCAGTTTTGAGTGTTTTAACTGGAAATCTGTTCTGATATAAATTTAAATTATTTTCATTCTTAGAACAGCACAAGTTAACTTCGATTACAAACAAATTTCGTTTGGAGTGGTTGTTTCGTTCATTAATACGTTAGAGTTTATGTACATTCTGTAAGAAATTGTGGGATACATAATATATAACTTTAGAAGGGACTACTCGTGCCTAGATTTCTAACAGTTGGAACACCTTATTACTTCATGTCCCCAATTTTGAAAACACATCCTCGTAAGGATTAATATGTAACCCTCTTAGTAGATATATTTATGCTATTACAACAAAAGACAAATTGTGAAACTTTAGAACTGTGAGAAATCAAAAGTATTTTTGTATTTTATATACCGCAATAAATAAGGAAGAATTTAATATAATTATGTAAGGTAAACGCGAATGACATTTGTTCGGTTTGATTAGGAAAATCGATAAGAAATAGCCCAACTATATTTTCCCGAAATTCATTGCGAATTTCTTTGTAAAAATGTTTACTACTGAAATAGTTTGGGATTTTTACAATTATAATAAAATAGTTTATGAATTTATAATTTTGTAAATTATGTCGTTCAATGCAGACGAAATAAGTAGAAATGACAACTCAATGCTAAAATAAACGTAAAGAATCTAATACAGATTACGTTAAACATTCATATACACACATATGATATATGAAAAAGAAAACAAATTGTATTATAGTGTAAAATGTAGTTGTTACTCTTACCCCATACCAACTCAAACTAAAACAGAAACCAGTTAACAGTGCTAAGCAAGATTAGCCAATATCGATATATACATATATACATCAAGAGTCATTAATGTTATCATATAGTGGTATTATTAGCTTTTAGTTTTCCAAATCATCATCACAAACCACTCCCTCAATTGTATTTAGCAATGATGAGAAACTCAAAAAGTATTCAATGCAAGAAATACTCTTGTTTTTATTTTATCTCAAAGTATCCTAGGAATAATTTGTACATACAATCGATTAATATCAAGAATATATATTGTTGTATAATTTTAAAACATCTTTATTTACAATGTAAGATATTAGTTGGTAGATTGTATATTTTTGTTAGAACATATTTAACACTCTAATTATGTCTGTCGAATTCAGAATTCTCATTTTTATTTTATGAAAACAAAAACTGTAAAAATCATATTTGTGTTTTAATTTTAATAGAAAATTCCCTTTTACTTTTAAACTGACTTTTTTATTCTCTTGTTTTATTTTGTTCGCATCTTAAATAATTTGAATTCACAGCGCGTATATCATTCAGTAGAAGTTGTGTCTACAGGAACCCTTTCACGACGGTTTCCCTACAACTTTTTACGTATAACAATGTACTGAGAACAAGATAGTATGAACAATATTGTCAAAAAAGCACAAAATATCACAAATGATCATTAACATTGCGAAGGATTTATTTCAAGGTGTAGTATTAAGAAACATTCAAACTAGACAAAACAATTAATTTAATTTTCCATTATTTACAGCGTACTCGTACGAGAAAACACATCATGGTACCATGGACTAAATAGAAGTTACTGCACACTAATATACTCAACTCATATCATAATGGAGATAATTTCTTCATATTTCATACAAACACTTAAATCGACAGTAATAAAAGGTAAATATTTCCAAAAATTTACATTTTACATTAAAAACTTAAGGCAGCTATTTTAACATAAGAATTATTGTAAATTATGTTAAGAAATAAGACATTTAAATAATAATAAGTTAATTTAAATGACAAGATGTGTCCATGAGAACGTGAACAGTGGTTTACATCCGACTATATATGAACTTGTAACTTGATTCGGATATACGATCTGATTACTTACCACGTGCGTATACATAAGTTCAAACACGGTACTCTGTAATGAAATAAATCAACTCTATATGAACTTGTGTGATTTCATCTTCGGATTTGTCTCCTTTGTTTTTCTAGTTTTAAGCCCAAATACAAAAATATTTGTAAAAATGCAGCAAATGACTACACTCACAAACTAACTATGATATTAGATTGTAATCGAAAAGTAACAAAGAACAAATAATGTACATAGGCTACAAGCGAGTAAGTAATATTAAAACCGCTGTGTGAACTTGAATTTAATTTAGTGAAAAGCAATTATGAATGATTTCTATTTGTACACAGGGTGTGAGCAATGCGAGTGCATTAGATGTGCCATTCATGCATACTTGGTAGTTAAAAGCGCCCAACTAATATGTAGTGCCCCCTTACAACCTCTTTTCATAATAAATGTGATAGAACCCCAGTTTAGTAGTGCATAATCTAAACAGTAGTTACAAAAATGTGTGTATATTAACATCACAATATCAATCAAATTTCAAGACAAATAGTTGATATTATTATTGCTATAATTGAACAATGTTAGACTTAAAAAATATTTCGTAGCCGAGCAATGTTAAATATACCCAATCATGATATTATTTTTTAATACATCTAAGTAGTTGCGAAACTATTACGACATGCGATCAATGTTCGTACTCAATCAACGCGTATATTGGATTATCGACTTTCATATTTGGATGTGCAGAGAAATGCAATATGTGTATTTTTGCACCTATTAAAAACAAAGGTTGCATAACAACCTTCCATAAGCAATCGTTATCTTTTTTTAACAATGTCCCATATGCACCGGCGATTGATGATTGAACAAATATAAGTACTCGTAGCTTACAATAAACAATTACAAAAAAAAAATAAAATAAAATAAGACAAAGAAAACCTCCCGCCACTATACACAATGTAATAATTCAAATGGTGTGATAAAAAATTATATCTGATTTACGTCACTTTCATTTAAACATCCTGTTTTCTACTCGTGTCTGTTAAAGAGATATAACACATTTTATACTTTTTTTACATTTCGATAAGAAATCAATCAATTTACATTTAGTAGACATGTGCGTTAATGTCTAAACATAGCAAATATACGTATAAACTGTAATAAAACAAATAGATAATACAATATTATATCAGGGATATATGATGGCGGATCTTAGTGAAAAAGAAACAAATTCATTAGAATGAAATAATACAAGAAAACTTAATGAAACACCACAAATTAATATTATCTATACAAAAAGCATACAAAGAAAGTTTATTTTTCCAAAACGCATGTTTAGTTTCGGCAAAAGTATAGAAGAAAGAAAAATACGATCAAAATCAATTCAGATGCTCAGCTTACATTTAATTTCATAGGTTATAAAAAAACCACAACACAAAGCCGCCCAAAGGCCTTCTCAATACACTAAAAATATATTAGTATCTACATCGTATAATTAAGAAACTAAGTAGCTTATTAATACAAAAACCCTATGTATTATATAATCCATACATAAAAATATATATTTGGTTCTCATTCAATTAAATATTTAAAGACAAACAATATATAGTAAGACAAGATTCAAACAAATAATATTAATATATAATGTAAAATACATATACTTATACAACACATATATTTGAAGAGCCAACATCGGTGTCTATGTTATGTAATAGAAAATGTTAACTGAATATTGAAAAGAATATAGTGATCTTTTATACCACACGCCATACAACAATCTAACTCTCACAGTAATCAAATGTAGAAATGCTAAATTTTTTGATCTCAGTGTTGCATGCAATATTGAAACTTCAACCACAACAATAATACAATAGAATTGCTTAACTAATTACATCTTGTACTCATAAAAATATATACAATAAAATAAATAATTAAAATATACCAATGCAACTCCGTATATCTGAGCACATCTTACCAGTCCGGAACAAATTTGCTATTTTTTTGAACAAGACATAAAATAGTTTAAAATAAATTCAAGTTTAATTGAAATTAAAATTGCTTAAAACAATATGTCTCTGGGAGAAACTACTCACTTAACCCTTTCAGTGCCAAGAAAAAAATTGTCGGGACAAAAATCTAAAATTTGGCATTTAAAATCATATAAAGGTATAGAGTTTAGTAAAAATAGTAATTTTCATTTTAACCCTTCGACAATTTCGTCTGTCTTTCAGCAAAAACAAAACCATCAATAGTAACGGTACATAAGATAATCGAAAAATCGCAAAGAAAGAGAGTAATTTTACATGTCGAATATAGTCGACAAAACACTGAAAGGGTTAAGGATAAAACAAACATTCAATGACATTCCTTGATCGATTCATATTTTATGTTTTTAGTCAGATGTTGAAAAATGCGAAATTAACACAACAACTTATTGGATATATTTACATACATATATCGAATTATAAAAAAAAATAAATTTCAATTTTAACATGCATAACGAAGCTTTTAGGCCAATAAATGTAATACATTATGCAAAACAGTTTATCAATCAATCAATTTATCATGTTAATCAATCGAAAATTGGGAATATCATTGAAAAACGTTTTATATTCAGTTTCACTAAAACGATAGAAAGTCTCGGAGAGTTGCTTACAAAAGTTTCCTGTGTAAACCCCTACATACTAGTTACGTCTATATGTACAAAATTCCAAATTGTTCTATAAATGAGAATCGAATGAGAAATTAAAAGGAAATATATAAATACAATCAAATATTTGAATATAAAAATGTATCAGTATTTGTAGAAACTTTATTATTTTTTTTTTTTATTTTGTAAAAATGAATGAAAAACATAAGACATGTAAAATATATTTCAGAAAATTGTATTTTGTCATGAGATTATGTTGCGTGATTTTTAAAAATCTTTACAATTTTATAACCGATTCGAAAGCTATAGCAAGCAAGCGAGAAAAGTTATATTTGTATGAGTTCTTGCGATTAAACTTTCGTTCGGTTACGTTTTTGTCCAGAAAGGGTTTAGTAAATCAAAAATGAATTTATTGTTCGAATGAAAGCGAAAGAAACATTTTGATCGTCTTAGTGAAACATGTTGTT